GGGATGATGAACAAGAAGCTATTAAACTGGTTTTCAGGGTTGAAGACAAACTTGTCCACAGTGACACTCTCTCAGCCACATGTCGTTGCTGAGACACTGTTAAAAGAAGAGGACAGTTCAGACTTGTCTGGGTGTGGACATCGTCTGGCCTGATCAGTGAGCACCCACTGTATGCTGTTGTGTGTGTGTGTGTGTGTGTGTGTGTGATGTGTGGGTTGCCTCTGACACAGTAAACCCAAACAAACCAACCAGGTGTCTGACTGCGTATGCATGTGTGTAGATTTGTGTCAACTCTGTTATGCAGTGCTGGCCCCAGCAGAAGTCAACCTGTTCCAACAGGTGGAGATGGCCTTTGCTGATCTCCATCTGTTGGAGCAGTGGGTCATGACTGTGATGAGTAATAGCATCTCTGCATTTCTGACTGAAAGCTCTGAAGAATCTTCTTTGCCTCCTTCTTGCTGGGAGATGTTCAAGTTGATGTGAAGATACAACCAGTAGCTGGCTAGCTTAGCTTAGCAAAAAGACTGGGAACAAGGGGGATCAACCATCCTGGTGGACTATACTGTTTTCAGACAGAGTCAGGCTAGCTGTTAATGTAACAGGGTTTGTACAGTGTGCGATTCCACCAGTAGTGTAGGTCAAAGATTCCCTATGCAGTTTTAAACCTCCATCAGCACCATGGAGCCACTATGAGTGGGGTCCCATTTCTTTATCTTGTGCTTGCACATGGATTAATGAAGGTGATGTGATAACGTTTCCAATGGTTTTAAACTAACCCAGTGACCTTCAGGGGGCAGTAACACACCAAGACATGCAGCAATGCACCAGTAAAGAAAGGAAAAAATAAGACTGCAAGCTAGTAAACACAGCAGAAACTTGAGATGTTCTTCAACCTGGAAGTAGTGGACATCTCTTATTCCTGCTCTGAGGAGTGAGGAGACTGCTGGAGGAGCCATGAGCAAAGATACATGAGAGCATCCTTCACAAAAGTCTTTTATGAACCGACACTCCCTTTTATCAGAAATCAGCAGGCAATAACATGTTGGAACATGAAGGACTAGAGAAAAGGATGACTTATGTCTCTAAAAGCATGTTTCCTTGATTCCTCTCAATGCCCCTTTTTGTCCTGAACGGTGAACACAACACTGACACTGTGTGCGGTGTATCTGTGTCCCCTGATGAGCCTCAGGCCAGTGCTCCTTCTCTGTTTGCTCTGGGTTTGGTCTACACTGCCTCCTCTCTGGCCCCTGAGCTGCTAAATGCTCCACTATGTTCCCCACCTGGCCCCTGACGGGGTCTGTCTGTTGTCTACTGCTGAGCAGGTTGCAGAGAGTGGCTGTTTACAGCAGCTTCTCTGAAAACTGCAGCTTCCTGCTACATCCCAGACCCACACCATGAGAACAGGGACAGGGAACCAGAACGGTGATGTTGTGGTCCAACACCAAACAATGAGCTGAGACTCACTGTGAAGCTGAGAGCAGCGGCTCATTCAGATGATCACTCACTGCACATTAAACACATTTCATATAGTTTCATTGTAAACATATTGATCATAGCTGCTTCAGGTACTTTGGGTCTGATGACATGTAATATATTGACATAACTGATGCATGTCATCAGTAATACAGTACATCAGCTGAGTTGTTTAGCTGCAGGTGAAACACTGGTGCTGGAAAACATATCACACTGGAAATGAGCAGCAAAGGTTCCTGGTGTGGCTTGAAGAGTACGCCTGTAGCATTTATTATTCATGTTTCTATAGAGGCAGAGCAAAAGTAGGACAAGACCTCCATTAATTCCTGCAGGAAAACAGCAGCAGCAGCAGCAGAGGCACAGGAAGCTGGTAGTGTATGATGTGCTAGGGTGAGGCTTCAGTAGGCACTCTGCCACTGTGGCAGTCAATGAGTTTTACACAAATTGAAAACAGATCTTTGTTTAGTTTTCGATGTTGGCCTTGTTACTTACAGGTTTTCCGTAGGAGTCGTGCACCGGTGAGATGATCCCTCCGATCACAATGAACCGCCCTGTTTTGTGCAGATAGTCTCTGGCTTTTTCTGCAAACACACACATAGAAAAACAGAACAGGAGGCTGTTAAACTCTCACACACCTGCAGTAGAGTCCTGAGCTCAGACTGTAGCTGAACCACAGCTTCATCCTCTGTTGCTGAAGGACGATACCATTGTGTTGATAGTCACCACGGTGCATTTTCTACCTGACTGCACTGATTCTACAGAATAATAATCAGTGACAGCTTTACTGTTCATGTGCTCACTTCAGCACAGCTGCAAACATGTTTATTTCCTTTTTAAGTGTAAGGTAAAACGTGTCTTCAGGCTGTTCTGGTAAACCCCCATAATGTCCCTTTCACTTTCTCTGTTTCAGTAGCAAACACTCTGCTTAGGTTACACAAGAACTCCAGTTCAGTTGCTGTGTCTTACTGAAACTCTGCTCCAGGCTTCGTCTGAATTCCCAGTTCGCTTCATTTACACAGTTTGTCACCATGGCCGCAGTGACTCTGACGAGCTCTTTCAGCAGGAGCGTGGTGGATGGCGAGTTGTCGTTTGACTTCGTGGCAGAGTTTCACTGTGTTGCTACAACATTGTGAAGAAAAGTCAGTGTGATGAACTGGGAGGCAACAAAGTGACTGTTGATGCTGTGACACAGAGTTGAATCTGAATCCTTCATGTACAGAGACAAAGCAGCTCAGCAGTGGCACATCAAATGTCAGGCCAGTGATCAGACTGATGATTGGTCAGTGGATCACCTGAACTGAGCAGAGAGACCGTGGAGTGCAGACACTGTTCCCTGCTGCTTTCAATGTGTGAGAAAAGTGACCTCAGGGTCAGAGTTGTCTCACGAGTTTGGAAAACGTAAAACCAACTGAATGTGACAAACAAAGGCCAATAATGTGAAGAAACCAAATCAATTAATTTTGTTATCAAGTCAAATGATGTCATGCTTTGGATTAGATAAAATATGTCATTATTACACAAAAAGTTTTAATTAAAACTGGTTATGATAACCTGAGCAAAAAAAATTATATGCAGAAATTCTGTACAAGTGCAGGAACCACCCTGTGTCAGCATCACAGTGTTTGGATCCTAATGTTTTCAGATCTCTGTTGCACCCGAGTGAAAAGCAATCCTGTCGTTCACTGGTATCAAGCTGTTGTTGGAGTGAGCTGAGCTGGTGACTCACCCGCTGGCTAAACAACATGGGACGAGATCGGTGGAGAAATGATGACAAGCTCCTGCTGCTTTGGACCGATACAACATATATGTATTCATGTGTGAGCATCGTTTTATGGTAGTTGACTGTCGACAATGCAGCATATTTTATTTTCTGATTATATGTATGCTACACATCTACATTTGTTATGTAAAATCTAGGTTACAGCCACAGTGTTTCCCTCTGAGCTGTAGGAATGGAGCTATAAAGCAACAAGAAACTGATGGATTTGTACTTCTTTCTACCAGTGGTCATCACTGCTGTGCATAATAACTATTATTTAGTGTAACATGCACTTACCCTAACACTATTATAGTATTTCCTTGTTGCTTTCAGTGTTTCATGAATAAAGACTGAATGTTTATGTGGTTGTGTTTTTTTGCTATATGGTCATTAAGGAGGAATGGCTCATGAAGACAAACATGGCACATGACTTCGCCCAGAGACACAGTGAGGCAGAGCAGCTGGTGGTAAAAGTAGGTCACAGTGGGAACATGGCTGCAGTGCCGCAGCTCCCAAAGCACAGCTTCACGGACAAACACAGAACAAGACGCCTCATGGCCTCATACATCCCACACAGCGTCACACGGACACGTGTCCTGCAGGCGGAACAACAGATGATTGACAGCACTCTCCTCCACTCAAACCCCCACTTTCAATTTTAACTGAACTCAGTAGTCATGTTTAGTTTGTGTTGTTGTCTCTGTGATTTTGTCCACACTTAAGTACCGCGTATCTGTATTTATTACTATTAATACCTTAATAAGATGTAAAATTGGTTAATTTTTAATTTAGGTTAATTAATGTGTGAATAATTGTTTTAAAATATAAATTCGTGTGTTTATCTCCACGATTTAAGGAGATTTTAAGGGTGAAAAGGCCCTGAAACGTTTCCAAACAGCTTGAAAGCCATGTCATAATTTTTGCCATATTACTGAAAACCCAGGTTCAAGTAGGCTACAGTATAAAATAAGGGACGGTTTCATGTTATTTGGTCAATATGAAGGGATTGTTTACCTTTGAGAGCTTTGATTAGTCATTACAGGTAGATAAGATCAGACACAACACGACAAACATCATCATATACTGTTACTCCACAGAAATCGACATGCGTGTGTCTGACTTAACTCGTGTGCTGCTCCTGTCATCAGCGCTATGACCTGCTCTCTAATGACGCAGGAAAAGGCCGCTGAGCATGGCACCGTGTGCGTCGTCAGTCGCTGGACTCTCGCGGGTTTATGCTTCTGTGCCTCCGCGATCCCGGAGGATCCGTGTCTGGAGGTTTCTGGGCTGCGCCACAGGATGAGCGGGCCCTGCAGGGCCCTGACACGGAACATTTTCCGTCTTTTAGCCCGTTGTGCCGCGTTCAGATGGTGATGACACGGGTTACATGTTCTTCTTATTGTGCCATAAGTCTGTTTTTGTCTTCTAGAACCGTCGCCCATTTCAGCACCACCCATCTGGACAGCGACCAGGCACAGCGCAACCAATCCTCATTCATATTTTTACCATTTTTATCTCCGCCTTGACTTCTCATTGTTATTATTATTATTATTCGATGCTTCCAAACGACGTTTATCTCCTATAAACACACAGCCCTGCCCCCGCCACCCTCCCCCACCCCCTGTCAGCGTAAATGAAGCTCACCGAACATATGGATGTGTCCCTTGGTGATGGGGTTAAAGCTGCCGCAGGACAGCAGGATGACATGAGTTTTGATGGTTTCTGTCATGGTCCCTCTTGTGTTTTTCTTCTGTTCTCCAGTGTCCCGGTCCAGTTCGATGCCTCTCCCGAGTGCTTCTGTGTTTCCGGTGTTTGTAGC